GGGATAGCTAGTCCCCGAACAAAATAAACGAAATGGAAACCAAATTTTTTTTTGGATTTCTGGAGGGCAGACTTCCGTCTTCGTTCCTCTTCTGCCGGTTCCTTCCCACAGTCAAAGTGCAATTCCGGACTTGCTCACAACTCAAAACTGACCACTAACAATAGAGCGGTCAGAGGTCACAATAGGTCCATCAAATATCGAATCAACCTCCTCCTCCTCACACTTTCCCACTAACATTTGCAAAAGAATATAACAAAAATCACGGTTTCAGCAAAGGTCGAAAAACCGCGATGGGCAACAAGTACAATATGCACGATAAAGCAACAAAAAAAGTGAGATTATCCTGGAGTATCCTAGAAATGAACTCAAAAACAGCACTGCATGGATATGTAAAATTCACAATGAGTCCGCTTCAGGCATTTTCCCCACTAATTTTTTCAACCTCTTCAAAATGAATGGATTCACAGAAATGCAATCATCAGCAGTGTATGGTTCGACAATTCGAGCAACATCCAAAACAGTCATCGAACCATCTTCGTTGTTCGTCACATTGATCTGGTTTCGCTTCAGCCATGCAACTACAGCTTTGCGCCTGTAATGATAAAAGAGATGAAAAGAGGGATGCGATAAAATCGAAGAACCAGTTTAGTATAGTTATTACTGACCTACCAATAAGACTCTTCAATGAATAGCTGCCAAGGAAACAAGGCAAGAAGTTAACAACGTCCACCTTTGCCAGCAAGTAAGTCTTCAGCTGCAAACGGCACGCTAAAGAGTTCCAGTTGACGCAGACTCACTGCACCGCAGGTATTACCAGAGTATCAAACTAGAGGGACCGGAAGCATTTCCACAATATCAGTATGGTCACTAAAGAATATTAGGAACGAATGTTGACTGCAGCAAAGACACCAATCTCATGTTTTTTTTTGTGTCTGTATGCGCAGTTAGATTTTGTATCAAATGCGCGGCCTGCATGATCTCATTACGATCAAAAAGGAATGACTTGATAGGCAAAACAAGCGGTGGGCAACGTACATTTGAGCAGTAATTCTGTGAAAGTAAACAAAACTAGGGAGGAATCTACAGAGCTGGTGCACAGAGAACAGGCGGTGGGTATGAACTGAAGCTTAGGATTGAAATGCCTAGCACGTAGAAATAGCCTAGCAAAAACCAATAAAATGCAATCTCCACAATAACTGTTCGGGCATAATTGGCATGCTAGGAAATTTCCTACTTATTCTATATGAAAAAAAAAAAAAAAAACAAGTCCCTGCCGTCAAAAACACAAGTTTTCTAACATACCTAACGCCTGATGAATGCACGTACAACTCCAAATCGTCCACCCTTTTCTTGTAAGTGTCAACGAAGTAAGATAGTGAGCAAACTAGGAATAATGCACAGTGGCGCGCTGTGCCCGAGTAGCTTCTTGCCCTTGTAAGCTAATTTTGGCCACTAAAAATAATCTCATGGTTATAAAAGACAATACAGCTTCACTAATGCTAGTAATGTTAATCCAGATGACCCTAGCCAAACAGACTCGCCCCGGCAATTCCGTGCATTCTGTGCCTTTCTGAATAATCCAACTGACCAGACCATTTAAATATAATGAGTATTACGTACGGATAAATTAAGTGGCACTCTGTCTGGCCAAATAATGATTCACGAGGCAAATTTCAA